CTCGTTTCTCGTCTCCGGCTATTACGACCCTCACACGGAAAAAAATAATTACAATAATATTTTAGTTGAGTAAAAAACAGTTGAAACAACTATATTTTTACATTTAACAACTATAATTGTATGTTCAAGTAACGGGTACACAAATAGTTGATTTATTAAAAAAGTATTTAACTAAAATAATGTTGTATTAGGTAATATACTGATTGGTTTAACTACAAATTTAGTTGAAACTATTTAACTTCATTTTTTAATTGAATCAACTTCAAATTTTAGTTGATTAATTTTGTGAACAATAATTTGTAGTACCGTTTACTATAAAATATAGTTATTTATTTGAGGTTATGATGTTACTGTTATAACTTATAACTGATTTTACTGATTTACCTACGCGCTGCACACACGCTACGATCCCACATGTTCGATGTTTCAATTACACATTTTTAGTATTTTTACAAGTTTTTATGAGCTATAGCCTATAGTCCCAGTTATTTAAAAACGTATTGTTTGTGTGTCGTCGTTGAGTCGTCCAGAAGACTAGAACTCCAGGAGTAAATATACCGGCTACGCTTAGAACCAATTTTCCTTGGACCCCCAGGTAAGAATATTTTATTTTTATATAATTGAAATACAATTAAGTATTACAACAATGTTTTGCCTTGACCATGATATGTTCACTAGGTTTATTGGCTATATTTATTATAAGTCGCAAATATGGACGAATTTACAGTATCAACTCTTAAGGAATGGGGTTTTGATAATTTACTTGATCGTTTTAAAGGTACCTATGATAGTATATTTGTATATTTTAATTTGTTTTTATAGTAGGTACAATGTTAAATCTAAACTATCACATTTTCAATCATTTAATTATTTGTAGAAGAAGAAATTGATTCAGAAGCTTTTCTCTCATTAACTGAAAATATGATTGCCAAATTATTACCAACACTAGGAAAACAATCCAAATTTAATAAAGAGCTGATGAAGTTAAAGGAAAAAATTAACAAAGAAAAAGTATTTTATTATAAGTGTAACCTATCATTTTAATTCTATTATTACTACCTACTTACTTATTTTTATATACTATAATTACAAATAAATTAGAATTTTTTTTAATACCATTATTAATTGCAATTTCTTTGTTAGAGAATTGTATATTTGAAATAGAACATTACTGATATTTTTTTATTAAATATAAAAATAAAAATTAGGTAGATATTGCTTTAAATATATTTTTATAAAATACACTGTATTTGATAGGTAATAATTAATTTGACCACATAACCAATAATCATCAAAACATATTTGTAATTTTTGTTGCAAAGGAAACATACTCACTGGTTTCTTCAGATTCTGTAGGATCTTTAACAGAAAGTGCAGATCCAATAGATATAGTCAACTTAGACTTCATTATGTGTAATGATTCAAACAGTACAAACCCAACTCTATATGATACTGTAAGTGCTGACAATTTTCATGTGGCAACTAGTTCACAAAATGTGTATACCGATATTTCCAATGCCACAGGTAAAATTAACAAGTTTTTCACTATATTTTCTTTTATAAATATTTAATTAATTAATAAATATATTTATTAATTTATCAGATTTATGAATTGTATAATAACAATCATGTAAATTATATATATTTTGTTCATTATACGCTGTAGGGATAACCACAGAAAATATAAATTCTGGTGACGATGACTACATTAATAATATTTTAAAAAAATATAATGATGGATTAATGATATTAAATTACTATAAATTTAATGATACTTTGAATTACACTATGAGGAATTTGTTATGTTCGGTCATAATAAAACATGAATTTCTACATCAAGGAAATTCACAAATTTCTAAATCTAAATTTATATATTTAGCAAAAGGTAATAGTTATCAAGTATAAATTAACAATTATTTTCTCAATATGTTTTTAAAATGTTCACCTATTATTATTGGTAATTTGTTAATAATGAATTAAAATATACATTTACTTAAATCATATAGACAACAAATACAAATTCAATAATGCAATATTAACAGTAAATTGAGATAATAACTCATTTTGTCATGTTGCATCATTGGAACTGAGATGTAATTATAACTTATTAGTCATAGGTTATTTCTAACTTACTATTCATTTTAATAGGTATTTCATCATTATTTCCATCTGAGAATGAAAATACATATTTTACTCCATATTCAAAACAAGGAATGATTATAAGTCCTAACAGAGGCAAGCTATATGATAAATATTGCAATTTGAAAAGGAATATTTTGAAATTAAATAATAAAAGAAAACCTGCAGAGTCTAATGATAGTCAAAGGCATTTTTCTGAAGGTAGAAAGCCATTCATTTGGACATGCTTCTTTAAATTATATACCTAAGTATATTCATAAGATTTAAATTTTTATTTTATTAGATGACTTTGAAGATTCCCTGAATTGGCTAAAAAATAATGTTGAACCAGAAAATATACTTCACAAACTTTGGAATGAAACTGCAGAATTTCGATTAAATACACAAAAAAACTTAAATGTTATGGATATTTATCTAGCTTTGAAAAAACCAACCGGTCATTACCTTGTTAGTAGATACAATGTTTAACGTGTATAGATTAACTGACTTATTTTGCTTAACTATATGGAATTTTTTTAAACCTTAGATTGACTTAGATTTTGGACACTTGTATCCTGGTAAAGAAATGTGTCTGTTTCAAAAATTTGATTTTTTTAAAGAAAAGTTAAAAATTTTACTTAAACAGAAACCTATTAAACTTGAGTCAACTTATTCAAAGTTTCTTATTAAGCTTAACGATCCTAAAAAACCTGGCAAGTGAATATATAGATCAGGCATTGGTAGCAAACAATTTAATTTAAACATTTTAATATTTTATAGGAGATGATGATTTGGCTTCACTATTGTTAATACCATTTTTGTTTCAACCTACAAATGTAGTTCTCAAAAACAAAAAAACTCATCGACCTTCGAAAATTGAACAGTCAAGAGCTTTTGTTACTCACATTGTTGTAAGTTCACTATTTTAATTTATGATTTAGATAACTTAAGATAATTTAGAACATTTATATGTTTTATTCTAGTGTGCAAATGAACTGAAAACTTTGCATCAACAAAAAAAAGATCGTGCACTTTTTTTGGGGTTGACTCTTCAACCATATGTTGTTGTAATTGGTGATATTGATGGATTGGATCCTATTCATGCTTATACAATAATTGACAACACCCAATTCTTATTAGAGACTCCTATAAAAGCAGTTGATGTATGTTTTAAAGCTTTTCATTCGCTGAACCTGGAATATCCTGTTGAATCAAATCAAGTATGGTGCTTTATTGAACATTTTTTTTTCAATATTGTAAACCCTATAAAAGGTAAACAATTTTTATCAATCCAAACTCTTGTAAAAGATTTAAACTCTTGTTCTGATTTAAATTCAACCTAAACTATATTAACAATTTGTTGTTACCGAGAATGGTATTGTAATTTAATATTTTTTTCAATTTATATAAAGAAGGAAGATTTAAATTTTTTTTATTCAAACATTAAGTCACATTGTTTATTGTTTTATTATTAATTAATTATTACTTATTACATTTCAATTTTTCTCACAAATTAATATTTATATTTGTATTATGTTGATACTACAAAGATAAAAATTTTTTTCAATTTATATAAAAAAAGAAAGATTTAAATTTTTTTATTCAAACATTAAGTCACATTGTTTATTGTTTTATTATTAATTAATTATTACTTATTACATTTCAATTTTTTCAATTTATTCTATATAAGATTAGAATGTATACCTACAATATTGTGATATAGTAATAACTAATAATATACCTAGTTATACATTTTAAAATGTCCTATGCTTGTTTTTTATGTGATCAACATCATAATTCTGAAAATGAGTTAATTACGCACATTCATATTTATCATAGCATAAATGATATTACACAATTTATATGTAAATATCCAAACTGTTATAGAATTTTTGGAAATTTAAATTCTTTTAAAAAACATTTAAACTCTAGCCATAGCCATGGATTTAATAACCACAATAATCACAATTTAAATAACATTACTTTAAATTCAACAATTCAACCAGAACTTTGCAACATTATTAATTTACCAACAATAGATGAAACTCTTATATCAAAAACATCTGTTAAATCATCAATTACTGTAGGTTACTTAAAACAAGAATTACAAAAAAATGCTTTACAATTGATAAGTAAATGGTATAGCAACAACTCAATACCTAGAAATATTGTGCAAACATTACTTGATGATATAACAAATTTTAATAATTCTTTTTTAAATATATTGAAACAAAAAATTATTGATGACACAAGTCATTTTGAACCATGTCCATTTAATACTGAAGAATATATTGAAATATTTGATATAATTTTAAATCCATTTGTTGATGTTAAAAGTGAGTATTTACGACTTAAAACATTAGAAAATATGGGTTTGCTTGTACGACCTAATCAAGTTGTAGTAGGTGAACGGTTAAATGATAAACTGCTACAAGGTAGAACGATATTGGAACCTACATCTGTAGAAATCACATTAGTTCCTCTTAGATTAATTTTTAAACAAATTTTAGAGCATTCAAATTTTTTAGATGTAATGCTGGATAATTTAAAATGTTTAAAAGAAAATGTTGACCATCGTATAATTTATAGTTTTGCCCAATCAAAACTTTGGAAAGATAAAATCCATGGCCGTGAAAATAAAATTATTATACCTCTATTCTTGTATTATGATGATTTTCAAGTAAATAATCCATTGGGAAGCCACGCAGGCTCACAAAAATTAGGCGCTGTTTATGTATCTTTTGGTTGTCTTCCACCTGAACTTTCTTCTTTAGTAGATAATATTTTTCTTGCCTCTCTTTTTAAAACTGATGATTTGAATACTTTTGGTAATAAAATAATATTTAAAGATCTCATTAAAGAATTAAAATTCTTGGAAATTTCAGGAATAGATATAACTGCTAATAACAAAAACTATAAAATATTTTTTACTTTAGGTCTCATAGTTGGTGATAATTTAGGTTTACATACAATTTTAGGCTTTGTTCAAAGTTTTGTGGCATGTTATCCCTGCAGATTCTGCAAAACATTTAGAGATGTATGTCACACACAGATAGTTCAAGATGATAATAATTTAAGAAATACAACTAATTACTCTACTGATATATTAACCAATAATGTTTCCATCACTGGGATAAATGAACTTTGTGTTTGGAATCAAATAGATTCATTCAGTGTAACAAGTAATTACAGCGTAGATATCATGCATGATTTACTAGAAGGAGTATGTATGTATGATTTAGGGTTTATATTAAAAGAAATGGTTTTCAATTTAAAATATTTCACCATTGAAACATTAAATAACAAAATTGAGTCATTTAATTATGGTCCAACCGATATTAGAAATAGACCCCCATTAATATCTAAAGAAAATCTTAAACATGGACATTTAAAAATGTCAGCTTCAGAAATGTCATGTTTCACTAAATATTTGGGGTTGATTATTGGAGATATAGTTCCTGAGCACTCTGAATTATGGCTATTATATATTACATTAAAAAAAATTCTTGATCTTTTGCTATGCAAATGGGTAAAGGAAGATGACATACAGTTACTAAAAACTCTCATAACAGAACACCATGAGCTGTATTTACGATTATCTCATTCTAATTTGAAACCAAAGCATCACCACATGATTCACTATCCACTAATAATTTCCCAATCAGGGCCATTATCGCAGTTTTGGTGTATGAGATTTGAGGCAAAACATAAGGAGTTAAAAGAAACGGCTCATTCTATAACTTCTCGAAAAAATATAACTTTAACTTTAGCACTGAAACAACAACTCCTGTTATCTTACCGACTTTTAACAACAACTAAAAATGTATACTCATCTAATACAGATTTAGGACCTATCATAACATTACCTCAAGAAACTATTACTTTATATAATAAT